TTGTAACCATTATAAGACTCTATTTCAATCGGACCCCAAACATCTGAATGAACCAAAGCAAAAGGACTCAACATACGACTACCAACTCTAGGACTGAAGGGAACCCGACGATGTTTCCCATACTAACACGACTCACACTATAAAGACAACAAATGACTCAAAGACGGAACCAGTATCTTGAGTGCCTTGAGAGATGGATGTCCCAGTTGACAATGCCACTGTAGAGGAGTGAGTGAAGTTTGAAGTGCAACTGACGATCCACCACCGTCAAGGTAATACAATCCACCAACCTCATACCCCCCACCAATCTTCTTCCCCGTCTTGAGATTTTGAAAAGCACAAAAGGAAAGGAAAAATGTAATAGAGCAATTAAGAGTCTTGGTTAATTTACTAACAAACAAGATCGAATGGAAACATAGGGACATATAGAACAGATGATAAAGAAAGAGACCAACACCACAGATGGGAGAAGAAGAACCGTTGGCAAGGGTTACAGTTTGAGATGTGGAAGTTTCAGAGAGGGAAGAGAACACACTTGGAGTCCCGGTCATGTGATCAGAGGCTCCAGAGTCAATAATCCAGGGAGAGGGTTTGGATGCCAGACAAGCTATACCTGAGTGGGCAAGGATGCTGTAGTATGCTATGAAGTAGCCTAGAGGAACCTCTCATACTCATCGCACGATACACTCACCATCTCCTTCCCAAAAACAGATGTAGATAAGGAAGGTGTTAGATCTGCCTGTTAGTTATCACTGACATCAACCCCACTAGCTACTACATGATTAGCCCATGTAGAAGAAGGGCCATGAAGTTCATAACAGAAATTCACCGAATGTCCATCCCTGCCACAATGGGTACACTTCCTTGTAGAGTTACTTTTTCCTTTACCACGGCCTCCCCCTGAGTCACGACCACCACCACGGCCAAATACGGAACCACCACGACCTCCTCRGRAGGCATGTCCTCCCCCTYTAGTACCAYGTCCACCTCCTCTGGCTATCACAAATGCTGATCTGTCAGACTGTGTGGGTTTCTCTGTAGGCCCCAAAGAAATCCTACGAAGCCGTGCAAACACTTCCTCAAGTGTAGGAAGAGTAGAGCCTTCCAATATTTGGGCCCTAACTGGTTCATATTCTGATTTCAACCCCACTAAGAACCTAGTGACATCTAGTTGTTCCCTCTGTTATTGCTAAACCTTAACATCTGGAGTGAGGGGATGATAAACATTGAGTTCATTTCTGAGGTTCTTCATACTGGCATAGTACTCTTCTAGGGTTTTATTCCCTTGCTGCAGATCGAAATACTCCTGCCCAGAATAAAGCTTCTTGGCATGTTCCCATATGTCCTTAGCTGTATCTAAGAACATAAAGTTGGCACTTATTTTGGGTTCCATACTATTCCATAACCATGTCATGATTTGGGCATCTTCCTATTCCCAATCATCAAACCTTGGAGAGTCAACTGATGGTTTATCTTCCTTCACGTGTTTCACTTTCCTCTTTGCCTTGAGGAAAACTT